AGGAGGGAATTGTAAAAAAAACTCATGGGTGGGAGGTGAATCAGAAAATTCGTGGGATGAGTATAGAGTGGAGGTGGATATTTGTTAGTTATCTAAAATTTTTAATGATGGGTTTTTTAACAAGTGCGAATTTTAATTTATACTAGTTTTTACACACGTGCAATGCACGTGATTTAACACCATGATTAAGTATTTTTGACAGTTTGTGCTCACTTTTGTCTTTAAACTCTTACATCCCGATTATTTTTTTATGTTTGTTTAAATGAGATACACCCAATTTAAATTTTCATGTTAATATTTGAATTGACAAAAAAAAAATATAACTTAAAAATAATTTGAATTTTTATATTATTTTTGACCGATATGAAACTAAGCTTTATTTGAGAAAGTACAGCGTTGCAAAGTGAAAAATATTAAAATTGTGTTATACAAGAAATGTGAATATTTAAAACCAATATGACAAAATGATTGATTTAAAGTATGTTAAAACGATGCAAAAGAGAATATGAAGTTTATTCCTAATCATTGATAGACTTCATAAAAAAATATAAATTAAAGATTAATACTAACTCTAGTATATTTTTATATGATAAAAACATACACATAAGAACATTAAAGTACTGGAAAAAATTCATGAAATTCCCTTCTAAAGATTCCTAATTTTACTCAAAATAATTAAACTATTCTATAAAATATTCAGAAAATATTGTCTTTTATTTCTTCTATTTTTATTTTTTATTGAGTTAAGATCAATCCTTCTTCAGGTTTATCATTTATCATTTCTTGGGCAATTCTAGAGTAGTGTCTTCATCATCTACATTAATTGTGACATCAGACTAAATTTGTATTTTTATGCTGATATCTTTCCTGGGCTCGTTAATTTTTTATCATCATATTTAACTTCACAAAGAAGTCAAATGTACTTATGATGTTCAACACAAACTGCTCAAAATATAGACTTTGATTTTTTTCTATTTCAATGAGAATAAATATTAATTTCATATATATAAAATTCTTTGTGTTCCTAATTTATTACTTAAATAAATTAGAAGCTATCTCTTTATTTTCCTCTAAAATAAATTCTTCTGATGTGCATCCAATAAGAATTTTTGTTATTTCAATAATATTACCTTTGCTCTATCCCTGTCATTTTTCATAAAGATATAAACTAAATACCTGCATTATTCATTACCAATTTTTCTTATTATAATATTAATATTTAATTTGAAGAACACATTATGGAATTTATGAATACTTACTAATTTTTCTTATGTCTTTCATGGAGATTTTTTCTTTGATTAGGATAAAGTTATTAAATTATTTTTTAATGTAACTCATTCAGTGCTTCACTAATAGATATGTCTTATGTTAATGCCAATTCAAGTGATTCATTGACGTTTTCTGAATTTTAGATTTATTTCCATCACTTTCCCATTTGCAATGGAAATAACTCAATTCTTTTAAAGTTATCTCTAAATATTCTAATAGTTTCTCCATATGTAATTCTTTGTATTCTTTTACCCTATAAATATTATTAACATCAAAGATTAAAGTTTCTAAATTAAAATCAATTAATGCTAAGGTATAATACTATAGTGTTTTATCATTTCTATGGATTTAAACATCTATCAATTAATGTTACGAATATATTTTGCCTACCCCAACTTATTACTAAAATTATATGAAATTACTTTAATTTATATAGTGTCGATGATTTTTAATTTATAATATATTTAAAATTTTTATCCATTAACCGGATGTTTTTAATCAATTCTTATTATTTTTGTTTACCAGTATCAACTTAGACTATTCTTAGATGCTGAAAATGGATAGTAAATCCCTAAATTAGAAATTTTAATATATATATATATATATATATATATATATATATATATATTTAAATGTTAGTATATTTCTTGTAACTCTAAAATTTTGAGGGTGTCTTTTGCAATTATTAAAACTATAGTTTAATTTTAAAAATATTAAATTTTAGCGGTCTACCAATCGACGAATTTGATGTGTGCTAGTTAAAAATTTTGAAAATTTAGAGTTTTTTTATGATTTTTAAATTTTGAAGGAGTTTTTTTATAATTTTTTTAAATTTTAAGGTTAATTTCGGCAAATTTTAATTTTTTAGGTGTCCAAGGGTAATATCTTGAATTTATCTTATATTATTTATAAATTTTAAAATTTTAGGATGGCTTTTTATAATTTGAGTTTTTGAAGGTGTTTCTATAATTTTTGAGATATTGAGGGTGTTAATTAAAAAAGTTAAATTCTTCAGAGGCTGCTATTATTTTTTTTAATTTTATATTTGTTATTTTAAGTTTTAAAATGTCAAAAATTTTAGGTGTCTCATGGTAATCTCTTGAATTCATTTGTGTTGTTTGTAAGTTTTAAAATTTTAGAATTTTAATGTGCTTGTCTGTAATTTAAACTTTTGAGGGTGTTTCTATAATTTTTGAGACATTGAGGTATTAACTGTAAATTTTAAATTCTTTGCAAACTGATGTTAATTTTTTAATTTCATGTTTTTTATTTTAAGTTTTGAGACATCGGGATGATTTTTATAAATTTGAACTTTTAAGGTTCTTTTCTGCAATTTTAAAACTTTTTATAGTTTTTTTTGTAATACTTCATGTATTATAATATGTTATTTACGTGTAATTTCTTTATCTTAACAAACTAATAACATTTTTATGTTTTATATATTTTATTAATATTAATTTTTTTAAATTGTTAAGCTAAACATGGTTCACATAGGATTAGGATAAGATATGATTATGATTAGGATAGATTAATATATAAATAAAATATTCAAAATAGTGAAGGATAATATTGATCATTAAAAATTAGAATTTGATTATAGATAAGGTAGTTCAAACTATAAAGGGGTATATTTATCTAAAAGAGATTTTCCGAACTCATGCTTTTTAAGGGAGTATGATATGGATATTACAGTTTGTGGGGCAAAATGGAGTCACATATAGTGAAAGAGCCACGAAGCACAAAGGGTGGACAAATGCCCCTACAATAATTTTTTTGGGGATATACATATCACTAGTCTATGATCACATGCAAATTTTTTAAATAAAATGCAAATGTATATGCATAACCTTTTTATAATATCAAAATTACTAAACT